GGAATGTTTTACCAGTGCCACCTGGTGCGTCCAGAGAAAAAAATCCACCTTGTTGTGCTGCAATTGACACGTTAATTTGATCATTTCGTTGCTCAGCAGTAAGCAATCGTTCATTGTTAGCAACAAAAGTAGCCAGATAAGTCATATCGAACTGGTGTTCACGTCGCTGTTGATGATATCTGCTGCTTGGCGCTGGCATACCAAAATTCATGAGCGGCATGTTCGAAATAAGAAAACAAATATCCTCAATCATTATTAATGCCTCGTTATATATTTCTGCGGAGAATTCAATACTGAGATTTTGATTAGTAATTCTAATCCGATACAAAATATCCTCACTCATTGAGTCTTTATATTTATTCCACAGAGCAGATGCTTCAGACGGAAAACACGTTGTCAATATTATTGAAAATAATTGACGAATTTGCTGTGGAGATGAACTCAGTGCTGCGTCTGCAAGTGTGAGGTCCCAATGGTTATCATCCTCCAATAAATGTAACTCACGACACGCATCAAATAAAGTGCCGTATAAAGCACCGTTGACTTTTCGTTAACCAATAACAAACGCAGAAAAAAGCATTCGCGTTGCTTAGGAAGAACTGTATATAATCGTCCTAAAGTATTTGTCATAACTATGTCGGCAAATCCTGGGACTGGAGTGCCTCGTTTCCGTGGTTCCCAACTTTTTGATTGTTTATTCCATGTAAAAAATTTAGGAACATCAGTATACATTAATGCCTTTGTAAATTCACCAACAATATCTTGTCGATTACAAAGGTTGAAAAATTCAGTAAGAGTTGTTTTTGGAGCTGTTAAAGCTTGTTGTAGTGCATTCTGTTCGGTGAAATAAACACGCTGTCCATTTGCACACTTCAAAACTTTTCAAACACAATAATAACACGAGATTACAAATTCTATTCAACGACTCTTTTTCCTGCTCCCTATTAAATTATATGTGTATCAAAACAAACTAAAAAAATATTTACAGAAAAACAAAAGTTTTATGACTTTTATTATTTTTATGCTAGTGAGAACCAAAACAATATGGAAATGAATGAGGGAAAACTGGATCCTACCACGTGATTTCCCAGCCAATGAAAATGTAGCTTTAAACGTTTAACGCTTTCTTGATGGAAGTCGCATAAGAAGTATAACTTTTAAGAAGTAGAATTTTTCCCACTCAATAAAAAATTAACTAAAAAAATTGATATTGGACCTAATTGTGAATTTAAACCATTCTCGAATCCTTCTGAAGGTACACAGAAAATTTTATTTAAAGCGGTCCAGCCGCTTAGGAGGAGTTCAGTGACAAACACACGCACAGAGGAAATATATATATAAAGATGGGGCACATTAGGACCGATAATCCTCATAGAACAATCCCTGACGTCTGTAAGCTATTAGAACACAGTTGCAGATCAGGTTCACCCATTCATGGCAACAGTTTTTCCTGTCTGCAACAGTCTGTGGGGGATGGTGTTTACCAACAGAATAATGCACCATGTCATAAGGGTCGAATCGTCGAGGAACATTCCAGTGACTTTCAAGTCATGTCTTGGCCCCCAAATTTACCTGATCTTAATCCAATAGAGCATTTGTGGTCCTACTTGGAAAACCAAATTCTTGCTGCCACGCTACCTCCTCGCAATGTGAGGGAATTGCAGGACCATTTGGTGAGCGCTTGGTACCAGATACCTCAGACTACCTATCAGCACCTTGTGAAATCAATGCCACTGCGGGTGCTAGCAGTTTTGAGGGCTAAAGGTGGTCATTAGCAGGGTGGTTATTAGCAGGGTGGTCATAATGTAATGACTCTTCGGTGTATATACCTTAGTAAAATTTTTCCTAAATTTTTCTAAGGTAATTTGTAGCATAATGTGCGCACACGATAAATTATAAAAAATTATTTACGATTAGATAAAACTTATTATTGCAGCAGTTTAATCACTGCCTGAATACAGCTCACCATAAAACGGTGATTTGACCTTACAGAGCACTAATTCATTGAATGTAACTGCATATTTTTTCGAAAATATAATCTTCTTTCTCTGTTTCCTGCTTTTGTACAAATATTTTCTATTTTAAAAAATAATTTAATTATAAAGAGTTTTTTCTTTTTTTTCCAGGAAAATTTTTTTTATTTCTTTAGCTACGTTATTTTATTTTTTCATTGAGTATGAAAACGGTTATCCTTTTTTTAATTAAATATTTAATAGAAACAACATATTAACAAATAACTTCGATTACACATTTAAGTCGAATTTCACTTTATGTTTAAATGCATTTTAAAAGCCAGATAATTTTTTTTCAACTAAGGCCTTTCAAATTGCTTCCATATACTTAAAACTTATTTCCAGTTTTGTTGATTTATTTCTGATGCTATATATTTTCAATTTACATACAGAACTTATTTTTTGGATACTCATTAAATTAAATTAAATGTTTTTCTCTAATGCATTAAAGTTGATTATAAGCAAGCAAATAAATTGCAATTTTTTTCTTTGCCTTAATAAAAAATGCAATATAAAATTTTATTGTTTACAAATTCTAAATCTTAGTATTTAATAGTTTGTTAGCATTACTGAGTAAAGAAATTCTTGAAAATACCATGAATTTTTTGCAAAATGCTTGCTTACGTATTTGCAATCGCAATTAAAACAATTTAATTTTACAAAAATATTAAAAGTGGTTTAAAAAAAGATACAGTTTCTTATCTATTTAATTTATAATAAACAAACCCATTAGAAAGCAAAACCTTGAAAAACTGTCGAACTTGCTTTGTTAGCTTATTGGATACGAATATATTTCAGTATAGATTTGATTTCGTTTTAAAATAAAAATGTAAAACACTGGGAAACCTGGGAAACCCTTGGTTTGTGTACACTTGGTTACCATTACTCTTGTCCCAAGACCAAATTCTTGATGAAACCATCAAGATATTTTGATGGTTAATGTTGGCTTCTTGATGGCCCAACATTATTTGATGGTAACCATCATACAACAATTCCCATCATGTGGTAACGGATTTTGATGGAGAAAGAAACTTCCATCATTTCGTGTTGAAAATAATAATTTACCCTATGATGGTTAACCAACATGGTTATGTTAGAAATTCTTTGGAGAACAAATTCCAACTTTTCATGATGGAAATATTGCTTTAGTACTATGATGGTCAACCGAAAAGTTATGTTCAAAATTTTTGGGTCAACTTTCATAATTTTATGATGGAAAATGTTGTTTTAATATGGTCAACCATCAAAAGATGCTTGGTATTGGTGAACCAACAACACCCATCATTTGATGATGGGACGCATTATTTTAACATTTAGTAACCTACCAAGTTATGCTTACTATTAATATCGGAGCTTCATTCTTTATTTCATGATAGAATAAGTTAAAATAAACCATAAATGATAAACTATTTCACAATGAATAATAATGTATTCTTCATCTCATGCTGCCAGTATTTTGTGCCTAATATTTTTTAACATATATATAAAGTAATGCTAACATAAAAACTATATTTTACAAATATCGATTTGTTTTGTTATAAATACCAATTGTCTGTTAAATAAATTGAACATTCATTTAACGGAATATACCAGTAAAATTAAAAGTCTATTTTCTTTTAACCGAGAGATAAAGAATAAACCAGCAATGGTGAAATCACTCTCTTCGCTTGCTGTGGTGAGCAGCAAGAATAATTATCGCTTGATTATCTCACCATGCGTCGATCCACTGTTATCAAAGTAACAGTGGATCTTTTCTTGTAAAAGTAAGATCCACTGTTTGCAATGAATGACGCCCCCGCTCACCAAAGCCGAAGCGAAGAGAGTGTGATTGACCAACATAAATCTGAGTCATTTTAAATATCGGGGTGTTGGGCAGTCTTGATGGTGCCAACAAAAACCGTGATATTTTGTGATGAAAAATTATATTGATAACCAGTAAAGTAGGTTGGATTATGATGGAATTTTTTTTTGTTGGCTCATTATAAGGATTGATATGTTCTTGATATGCCCATTATAGAAGTTGATATGGATATGCCATGTTGACCAAACATGAAAAAGCGCCAATTCCTAACTTGAGATGTTGGGCAGATTTGTTGGTCCCATCAAGCTGTTTAGTGGTTAGTATGGAAATTCAAGATGGTAACTATCACGTTTATGTTGGTCTATCAATGGAAAAGAATCATAATTTTTTTGTCTTGGGCTGCGAGCCGAGAAATCATATGATCTAAAATCTATTATTATATATATCAGTATATTAATTACCTACTATACCAGTTCTTGTAGTACCTGTTAACATAATTATAAATATCACTGGTGTCAGTTTTTAACAACCACCCGAATTGGAAAAATGGTTACATTTATCTTTTATAAGAGTCGAAGAAAAAGCAAATAAAGAAAATATATTAAAATTATTGATTTAAATTAGACTGAAATTGTAGCAACGTTATTCAACATCAGCAGCATGAAAGTGAGCTGTTGAAGAAACATTACACACACACTTGTAAATTTTTAAACTCGAAGAAATCATGTTATACATATTAAACAATGGCTTAAAGAACGTCACCCAGGGAATATATGAATTAAAGATTTATTTAATGTAATTGAATGCGCTCATATTAGATATTGATATTGCTTTCTTCAGCAAATGTTATTTCATGAATGTTTCTTATTAGATGCTTTTTTTGTGCTTATGTCTGCATACTTAAATGATAATTCAGTTTTCCTTCTTTGTTGCCAACATCCATTATAAAAATTCACGAAAATTTCTTCTTTTGTGGCGAAACCGTTTCATGGTATAGGCTTCGAGCGAAAATTTCGTTAAAGTTTCGTTTCGTTCGATTGAATACGTCGTCACTTCCTCGAGAAAACAAATTTTGTCAAAATTAATTAATATTCCGTCATTTTATTCCTTTTAATAAAAAAATAAGTAATTAAAAAACTTTGTTGCCTTTAATTTATCTAACTTTTCTAATAAGCACTTTATCGTAGGTACAATATAGGAGGTGGATCACTGTTGCCCAAGCAACACAAGAAGAACAGATAAAACAAATAAATTGCACCCATGCCTGAAGTAGGATTCGAACCAGTGATCTTCATGGAACGCTGCCAACTCTTTGACTACCATACAGATGGACGACTTGTTCCGTCACTCTATTTTCGATCTTCTAGTTTTTATTCTAGTTTCGTCATTCAAGTTTACAATCTCCCTTAATGCATTAGGATGAGGTTTCGATTTGAGAAAATATTTTTGTCATTGGCGTTTTGCCACAAACCAAGTGATAATTCTCCAAATTAATGAAATACAGCTCAATGATTACTGGATCTATGGAAGTGAAATTTTTATTTCTGAGAGTAAATACAGGAGAGAAATTTCTTCGAATTTCAATAAACGCAAGTTTTTATATATAAAAGAAAGAAAAAAAGCAAGATGTGTATTTTGGTGCATTTGAAACTTTTTCATTGTACTTTTATTGCATTTAGTTCCATTTTTTAAGAAAATATTAAAAATAAAACACTCTAAAATTGAAAATTGTCGACAAAAATTTCAAAAACATAACAACACAAAACAAACAAAGAGGGCACCATTTCTTTACTCAAAGCTAAAAAAGGGATAAAAACAAGTTTCCAGTCAACTCGCGCATATCTTCAATATATTTACAAAAATCGAGTTTGATATCAAAATAAAACAAAGAAAGGCATTCTAACGCAAACAAAAACAACTTTCTTTTTTCTTTCTATGACATTTTCTTCTTACAAGAGTTGTGAACAAATTTAGACACTAGGCCCGGAAGCCATAAAAGTGCATCATCTACAAAGCTCAATGTTTCCTCTCGCAAATCCAAGAAGAAAAAAAAATGAGCTGAAATTCAGCGTTTGAGGGCAAAACGCAAATTTCTCCAAAATAAAAATAAAGATTTCTGTCTCTGGTAAGTATTGAAAAGGGAATGATACATTCGGGGGGGAGTTGCTTCCAAAACTCACGAAGCCTCCGGGTGGTCCCCTTTTCTCTTTTCAATTTCTTTCACGTCACAATTCATTTTTGTTATTTCTTCTGTAATTTAAGAGTTTTATTTGAAAAGATGAGTTTCATATTTTTCTTTTTTTCCATAAATTATTTGAAAATATCGTGAAGCATATGCTTCGACATTTGATGAGAGTCATAAAAAACTTGCATTGGAACTTAATCATAAGGTCTTAGGGAAAAAGTTTATTTATTGAAATTTTTGTTTTGTTTAAAATGATGTCATCGATTTATTTCTATATATATCCTCGTGGCAAAGTACTTAGTTTGGTTGGAAAAACTTTGAGACTTCATAATATTAAAATAAAATAAAAAACATTGATTTTTATCCCTGAATCTGTTATTCAGCAAAATAAATTTCATACGACTTTTACTGAAGTATACGTTTTTATATTTTGGTTAAATTATTTTTCGTTAAATACAATTTTGAAAATGTAAAAAAAGGTTAAAAATTGCTATTTTTAATTCATTATGTACGAGTTTTAATAAACTGTACGCATTGATGAACATTCGCATTTGATAGATTTCGTTCCAACGCCTCTGTTCCATGTAATAAAATTTAAGTGTTAACTAAATATAATAAGACTTTAAGTTATCGTGTGAGTTATTTATTCCAATAAGTGCGAAAGAAAACATAGGCAAAAGTTTTTGAGACCATAATTACAAAATTATGAAATGTAATTGCGATTAAAGTCTGCGACTCTTGAAAATGTTTTGAGAAGTTGATCACTTGGAAAAGTAGGTCAAAGTAATTAATTTGCATTTTGTAAACTACAAAAAAATAATAAAAACGATTTAAAATAGTTTTTACACTTCGCTCCTGAGCATTGTTAGAACAAATGACAAAATGTAATTAAGAACAAATAACATAATGTTAGAACAAATTTTTGAATTGGTGACCAAAATTATTCCTTGGCACTGTTTAAATTTTATAATTTTAGTTCTGGAGTCATAGACATATATACCACGAAATTATTTTATTATTACAATACGAATAAAAGTTATAAGAATGGATGTAAATTTAATCTTAATTTTCTCTTTCTTAATCTTAATCACCCTTTTCGTACTAAAATTTTTGAACTAACTGAAGGCTAACGTGATTATAATAATCCTTACTGGAAAATCATTTTTTCTTATTTTTTATTTATTTTATAATGGTGATTCACTACACTTTTGAATAAAATTTAAGTTTAAAATCTTCAAAATAGTTCTTATTTTTTTAAATATTTTTGGTAACCCTAATTAATACCTTATAGCGAGTAGAAAGTAATGCAGTTTACAAACATTATGCAGTTTATAATTATTTCCTGCCGCTGAAGTGCCAGGAAATAAAAGTCAAGATTGGCATTTTATAGTTTTATATCTTTTTACTTCCACGTTCTTCCTTTAGGCCTAAGGTTTTACTTTTACTTCCATGTTCTTCGACGTTTTCGAATACCATTTTACTTTTACTTCCATGTTCTTCGACTTTTAGGGCTAACATTTTATTTTAGCTCCATACTCTTCTGCATTTAGGTCTAAGATTTTAATTTGTGCTCTAAAGAACAAGGGTTTAAAATAGAGCGCTGACTGAAAACTTCTGTTAATTTTATGAATGATTTAGAGGAGGCAGGAAAATGGCATACTTGCTTTTTAAAATGTCTTGAAATAGATTTTTCTCTGTTCCTACTCGACGATTCATTTTAACAAAATGGCTTAGCATTTAAATAAAAAGAAATTAGCAATAGAATCTTGTAGATGATAGAGAAATGAAAGTAAGTGATCAAGAAAACTGATATATATGCATGTGATGTAAAATTTAATGACAGAAAAACTTACTTTTACAAAATATTTTGAAATCATTCCATGTACACTTACTACAAAAATGCCTTTAACATTTTAGAAGTAAGAAATTAGACTGAGAAAAATGTCTATGCAATTTTAAAGTAATTGATTATGGAAAATATCAGTGATACGAAGCCAGGAAAATGGCAATTTGAAACTCAGCATACATTTTTAAATGTATATAATAGTTAAATCCAGCATAAAATCATTCTGAGAAACTAACAATAATGGCAATAACTAATCTTTTAAAAATCATAATTTTGCTGTATGATATTAGATTTCCGTGCAATTACTGTAAATTGTCACACCCGGTTTTAGAATCAACCATATACATATTGCCTTTATAAAGATTTTATATTTTGTTTGTAAGAGCAATTTAGTTTAATTACAATTTTAACTTTAAATAAGAAATAAATTAAACTACTTTCAAGTTATTAAAATATCGACTAAATGAGGAGACATTAAGTTTGGTACATATTTTCTGTGAAAAGATATATAACCATAAATTTTAAGTTGCTTTCATAGCTTTAAATAATTCAATATTCTAGGAATTAAGCTCATTTTGATATTAAAAGTTTATGTAGTAAACAAGACTGCATTAGTGGCTAAAAGTTTTCTAAATTGCTCTCACTTAAAAAGCAGCCAAACTTTCGTAATTGAAACAAATGTTTCAATTATTCGGATTTAAATCCGAGCGAAATTCTCTTTTGTAAACAGCTGCGATTAAAATTTTATATGGTGATGCGGAATTCTCTAAATTATTCAGTTTTTCCTTACAAAATAATTTCAGTACATTTGCTTGAATAGTTTTCAAAATTTTATATAAAAATGAAAAGAATCAAAACAGCATTAATTCAGTTAGTCAAAAGCATTTGCATTAAATAGTCCATTAAAACATATAAAAAACTACTTTTGAAAACTCAACTGTGAATTTTTATCAGATTACTGCGAAACGCATTAGTAAAGCTGACTTCATGCAGATTATATGAGACATTTGAAACTTTTCCCCATTAGGGAAGTTTTCGTATGGAATATTTAAATATGAATCTTTCATATCCCTGATTTTCCCCCAAAATGCAATCGATTTTCCCTGTTATTGGTTGCATTGTTGAGGCTTTTAAGTCCCAAGTCAGTGGAAGAAGATAATGCATAAAGTTATAATTACCGTTGGGTAAAGACATTTTCTCACTGAAAGTACTCTACTGGATCTTTTATTACTTTATCTTGAAATTTGCGTTTACGTTAATTCTGTTATTGCGTTCATTTATTGTAATGGTTATCATTTCAGAACCAAAATCCCTCGGATATTTCAGACTCCGATTTACTGAAATATATTGAACATACTTTATTGCGTGAGTGTATGTTTCAAAAGATGGCATTGAATAAAGATGGTTAAAAAGTAACTTGTAAAACTTATCACTCCTGTCTTTTTTTTAAACTTCATGTATTTTTTATTTTATAAAATATGTCTTTCACGATTAAAGTTTAAAAAATTATAAATTAAGAGTGTCCCAGGCACTGCTTCTTAACATTAACTGAATTTTATTTCTACTGTTTTGTAATGTTCCTCCATTTAGTTAGTGTACGAAAAATAAACTAAACTCAGAGGCGCAACAGCCCATAGAGGGCCAAGGCCTACTGTGCCCCTCTCAGTTTTCTTGACCTTGGGCTCTGGGGTGCAAGAGCAGATGCTCCGGTTAGGTGGTCAGCCGAACGCGAAACCCCCAGTGTTTAGTTCCCAAGCATGCTTGGTACTCATTTATTGAGCCACTGAAGGGATGAAAGGCTGAAAGTAAGAAAAATAATCAGAAAATTTTCCTTTATAAGATATTTTAAAAATAAGTAACATCGGAGATAATCGTAACATATCGACACTTTGCATTTCTTTGTAATCCGTAAGATATGTATCATGATCTCTCTTTAATTCGGTAAGATCTATCTTTATGTGTTGTAGCATTTTAGTGAGCTAAAGTAAATGCTATGTTCATTTACCGATTAGCTTCGTTTCGTATCACCCCGTGAACAGTTCTTTTGTCTACATTAAACCATCACGGTAATAAATGTTAAATTATTAGGATGTTAAGGCAACCATTAGAAATTTAACTTCAACAAAAAATAGTTTTAGCGGCATCACTGTTATTAAAATTTAAAGTTTTTATGTATGGAAAAGTCTCTCAATCAAGCCTTTCAATCATAACTTTCAACTAATTATCACAATTAAAAACTGATATCGTTTTCGAATGTACCAGATAAAACAGTTAAGAATGTTAGTTTATTCCTTAAAATTCTTAAGAGAAAAAGAATAAAATTTTATTTCTTTATATATTTTTGAAAATTTGCTTTTGATAGTTCAAGTTAAAGGAATATAAAAGCCTCGAAAAAGTTCCAAAATGAAGTGTAACGTCACACTGTAGTTTTCTAGAATGTTTCTATGCAGGCAATTAAATTATTTTTCTTTACTTCGCTTTATTCTTTTCTCTTTTTCTCCTTTTTAATATTTTCAAACAGTTGAAAGAAAAATATTCAAAACAGAATTGAAGAAAATTTGAAGAAGGACTGAATATAAATAAAAGAAATAATAATTTCAGAAA